AGTCCCTCCTTCTTTCAGGCTACGCCTCCTCGCTCCTTCTATCAGGCCCCGCCTCCTCGCCGCAGGTTTAGTCCCTCCCTCCTGTGACTAATTTCCCTGCGGCTGATTTCGGTGTCTGTGTCAGATTCCAGGCCTCATGTCCCTAAAGCGTCACGCCTCTGTGGTCTTCGTGGGCATCGATTCGCTGGACGACATCAAGAACAACAGCTGTATGGAGCTTTTCGTGTCCGGGGGCTGCATCGTTTCAGACGAGCTGGTGCTCAATCCGGACGTCATCACCTGCGGTACGTCCCGATCCGGATCCTACTGGGTTCTGCTCTGTGGGCTGTTTCCGTTCGCGGTAATGAGATCTGCTCTGCTGTCTCTCTGCAGATCGACTGGTCGCCCTGCTGAGGCTCCTGGAGGAGCACAGCTCTCCAGAGAGTCTGTGGAGGTGGAAAATTCACTGCAAAACCCAAAAAAAGTTAAAAGAACAGGCCAGGTACAGAATCTCTGTCCTTCAGAAGATCTCATCAACGCAGCTCATTTAGCAGCTTTAAGGATCTTAACCCTGGATGCAGCTTTTTTGGGTCGACTTGTGTGAATTTGAAGAGAAAATGTTATGTTTTTAAGTTGCGACATCCAGATGTTGCAGCTGTTTTCCTGAGCAGCATGTTTGTCCTCCAGGTTCCGGAGGGACGCAGCCAACCTGCTGGATCTGCTGTTAACCTATCAGAAGCGTCAGATCATCGAGTTCCTGCCGTATCACCACTGCGACATGACAAACCACCAGTCGCCCGACTTGGACTGCCTCGTCGAGCTCCAGGCCCGGTACACGCAGTTCCGACACACCGTCTACCTCACCGGTACGTCCTCGTCGCTCTCTGATGTTTAGCATCGGGTTTTTCAATAAGGAGAAGTTCAGCTCAATGACTGGAAATCAAGCAGATTCATGTCATCATCTGTTATCTGATACATCTGTGTGCCAGTGGCGCCTCCCACTGCAGGTTAAGTCCCTCCCTCTTTGAGGCTCCGCCTCTCTTCTGCTGGTTCGCATCTCTGTTGAGTTCTGAAATCAGCCTGTATTTCACCAAATCTCTAGAAAATGTGAGCGTTTAGGAGCACAGTTGGAAGAACATAATTTTTCAGACCTAGAAGCTCAACTCAGCCATCATCGAAGGATTTCACTTCCTCTTCCTCTGAAACGTTCCTGTTTGTGTCCCAACACAGAGCACCCCTTTGATAAGTTCCCAGCCTTCTCCAACGGGGGCATCATCGTGGCCGGCATGGAGGAGATCCAGCAGAGCTTCAGCAGACTGGTCGGCTGCCACAGCATCAAGGACAAGCAGCTGTACGTCGAGGATCTCCTCTCTCCCAAAGGTCGGTTCAAACAATTGAGTCATTTTAGACAAACCACAT